AATGGCGGATCCGCAATCTCAAGGTCGTTCAATTTACATTGCTGGACTAGTGAATATGCAATATCACCATCATCATCTTCTTTCATCTCCAAAGAGTATGCTATGATCGCCTCTGTCTGAAACATATGTAAGGCATAGATAGTCTTGCCTACAACCACGGCCCTCCCTCGGAAAGGAGTACAAGTGCCAATTTCCACTCGTTTCCAATTCTGTCTAACCACGTGAAAAGCAACGACATCAAAGTTTCCGTGCAAGTCAGACAATATAAACAAAATAATATCATAACCAACTGCATAACCAATTACCGCCATAGTAAATCTATGAGAAAATGGAAACCGAGGCAATTGCACCCAATCTTTCTTATCATGGTTGTATTTCCCAAAGTATAAGGCTGAACCTTCTACGAATTCCGTTTTGGCTTCAAGAAAATAAAGTGTGCCATATGCAGAGACAACTGTTCCATGCTGCTTAAATTGTACGGTAGAAGGTGTTAAACGATCTAATGCCCTAGTTTTAGTATCAAAGATATACCCTCCAAATGACCTAACGCAAGGTTTATTCCAACCCTCCTCTGAAAACACATATAGTTGGGAGCAGTCAAAAATCCTTGCACCCAAATAGGTAGAAGGACTGAACGTGGCTACAGGTTCAAGTGGTCCTCCTCCGCCCATATCTTCAACTTCTCCTCCGAATTTGAATTTAACTTCATATACGGCAGCAGTGTATTTGCCCCCAGTGAAAGTTACCATTAAAAACAAAGATCTATCTTCCCCTTGATTTACCGTCGTTGATGCATTATCTACCATGGGCAAACTGGACAAAGAAGAGAGATATACAAAACAAGTCAAGTTAATCTTTCCAAACAACTTCCAGACACAGAGAGAATTAATGAATGAAGCAAAAGCTACACAATCTACATAGCAAGGTAAACATTTTATATTATATAATATATAAAAATAAAAAAACAGCGATGCAAATGGGAAACAAAAATTAAGAAGATGAAATCCACTAGTAAGCCATGCACTGACCTTGGGTAAGGACGAACGGCCCCATGTTGGCGACTGAAGGGGCGTAGCAGGCCAAGCTCCTCCGATATTAATTTCTTCAGCGCGGCTAGAGATTTCTTCATCTCCGATATCTTGCCCAGTTCGCCCAACGATTTCTCCATCTCCCATATCTGTCCCAGTTCGCTCAGAGAGTTCTCCATCTCCGATATCTTGGGCAGAGATTTCTGGATCTTTGATATCTTACCCAAGAGCTCATCCTGGCGTGATGCCATCGTCAAGGCATGGTCTTGACTGGTGGTGAAGTCAACGGCTGTGGCCATAATATTGGAATGCTAAATTGAGGCAAAAGGGAATTTAGGGTTTGGGGATGCCGCGGCAGAAGGGAGTTTTATTCAAGAGATGAATTTGCCTTCATTTCATCCGTGAAGTGATGTATTTATATAATGTCCTAATTAATCTTGATAGGAACAGGAAACTTATAATTGTTTTTCTTTATTCTTGTTTTTTATTTTGTTGAGAGAAAACAGGAAACTTATAATTGTCTTTTTTTTTTTAGGAAAACACAATGAAAACTTATATATAGTTGTTTTTGAATATGCGACTCACTTTTTCAAAACTTATATATATATACACGACTCACTTTTCTAATTTAGTAGGTTTAGGTGTATTGAACGCTTTATTCTATTTGGTTTCCCGTTTTAAAATTCCTAGTGTTACTGCTGTTTGTTTATTTGTTACCCTTTTTATGAGTTTTTTGGGGTTTACTGGTGAGATTGGGTTTTAGGGCCAATTGAGGAAGTGGTTTAGTTCAAAGCCCTATATAATTGATATTATTTTTAAGGAAGAATCAGGAAACTTTTATTAATATTATTTTTATGAAGGAAGAAATAGGGACCTTTTTATTTTTGGCCAAATAAAACACAGGAATTTTTATTTTTTTTTGTTTATTGTTTGAGAGAAAACAGGAAACTTATAATTGTTTTTGAATATGCGTATGGTATTTATATGTACAACTTACTTTTCTATTTGGCTTCCCATTTTAAAATTCCTTGTGTTACCTGTTTATTTATTTGTTACCCTTTTTATGATTTTTTTGGGGTTTACTGGTGAGATTGGGTTTTAGGACCAATTGAGGAAGTGGTTTAGTTCAAAGCCCTATATAATTTACCTTCTTCTTTGATTTTATTGCTTCACTTTGGTTAATCAAATGTGCGGGTGGACTGGATCTCTCTTTGACACCATCGTTTTGCTTCATTGTCCAAGATAATCAAAGGTTACCTCATGCTTTCTCAGTTATATTTCAGTTTTTGTTTTCTTTTCTTTTGAACATTGTAGCAGTATTTTTTTTCTATTTGGATAGAGTTGTGCATCCCAGTTTTCTTAGGATGCACACTGCTGTTTTTTGCTTTTGTTTTTTCAACTTACTCTTCTTTTTGAGCTCAAGTGTTTTCTAAGGATACTCTTTGTTCTTACAAGTATACTTTCTGCAAGATGTTGAATGATTTGGAAGACTAAAGTGCATTGCAATGTGTACTTTGTTTGCTGGCTAATTAAAAGTTGCTGGAGAAGATGCAATGTGTTTTATTAACTGCTTGTTTGTTTCTATCTTTTCTTGCAGATTACTTTCATTGCTGAGAATTCTTTTCGGTAAAATGGATGACCAGAGAGAATTATCTGACTTTGTTCGAAAGTTGCATGATGAAAATAATTCAAAGCACAAGGTCATTGGTTCTAGGCTTTGTTATTACAGTTTCAAGTTTAATCATAGAATTTCTGAAGAATTGTATGAGGGGCATTTGTATTTATCTTTTGATCCTCACAAACCACCGATAAATGTGGTGTTTGTAAAAGTTGCTCAAGAAGATGCAGAAACAATATTTCAAAGGACTGCTGCAGCTAAAGATGGTGTTGTTTTACGGCCGTGGACGCATTTGTTCTCCAAACAAAAGGAGTTTGACGACTTGCCTAAGGATACAGATTTGAGGAAGGGAATTTGGATTCTATGTTATGATCGCTTCGAACACGATCTTAAACATTGGACACATTTGGCGAAGCCAAAGCCTAAGGGAATTGCTTATAATGATAAGCTTAAACTACCTATCAAGACTGGCGATGATCGTCTTAACGAATTTTGGTATAATTCTATAAGGTAATTGGTTAGATTTTGTTAAAATTATTGATTATAGTTTTGTTTAAATTGTATTTGACATAAATTTTTCGTATTTTTTGTAGGAAGTTGATTGATGGTGTATGTGACATACATAAAGAGGGGTTATATCATGGTGGGTTGGGTTCGCGGAGTAATTATGTATTTATTTGCAAAAGTCTGAAGATAATTAATATTAAGGGATCTTTAGATAAGTTAACTGATGAACAATGTGAGGCGCAGAAGAAAGAAGATATTACGGACCTTTTATGGATGTTGGACAACTGGTTCGAATCGATACTAGCAGGGGGGAAACGAAGTTGGCTGGAATGTCAACACTTCTTTGATTTTGTCAACCATGCTAAGACTTTGAATTTGGGGTGAGTTGTCTATCTCTTTTATTTTCTTTTTTACTTTATTTCTTATTGGATGTTCTTTTTGTCCTTTCAGCTATGATGATTTTGTCAAAAAAGTGTTGGGTCATCCGTTTTTGTTAAAAGCTGATCAAAGGATGCGTCTCTTTGATCATTATGACACTATGAGGAATTGTCCAACTACTGCTCAACGTGTCAACTTCGCTTTGGCATTATCCGCTTTTGATAATTTCAAATCCTGGAACTCTACTTCAACCGTTAATAACATGGATAGCTTTATGTCGGGTGTTTATAACCACTCCGCATCAAAAAAAAAACAACAACAAAATAAAGCAAGTTACTCTGGGACTGTGAGCAGTCTTCTTAGGTACCTCAGGAATCTAAATCATCATTATCAGAAACATGGTTTGGCGGCTGGTTCTCTGGAGGATGTGGAACGTGGTGTTACAACACATTTTCGTGGGTTTTTGGAGCTGCTTTACAAGCATTTAGAATTATAGTGGGAGCGGTGTGTGGTTCATTTCATGGTGTTATTTTATTTTGTTATTTTTTTTGGTCAAAGGTGTTATTTTATTTTGTATATCAAAGATTATATTTCATGGCATAAGTAGATTAAAGATTTGGTGTACAATATTAGTTTAAGAAATTGTTTGGCAATTGCAATACTAATACAAGTACATGTGAGCACAACGCTTCTTATTCTTTTATTCTTTTATTCTTTTTCTTTTTCCGTTTGCAGTCAGCTTTTTCCTGGTTGGCTTTTTCAAGGTGCCTCAGGGCTTTTCATGCTGCATGTGCGCTCTTTCCTCCTCCTTGGTTTCTGTGCAAAACAAAATTACATTATGAGAAACTCAACCAAAAGGCAAATAAAAATACTTATAGACATACAAACTATTGAGTCTCCTGATTCATGGTCATTAAATATATAAAAAGATTTCATGTAAACACGTTTCTTTAACCTCCCACATCAAAGAATTCTCATCCGCAGTGGTTTCATCTTGTTGTTTTGGATGCTCCATGTTAGCTGTACTCTCCCCTTCTATGGGTTCATAATCCTCGCACTCTTTGAGAATCATAATCAACAGAAACTATATTTATATGGGTTTTGATACATAAAAAGTGTCACGGAATCCAATGTACAAATTAATTGAGTTGGAACTATCTCAAGTTAAATTTATGTATGGAATTATAAACATTTGAATCATGTTTTTGTTATCAATTTTAATAAATGTACTCTTCTTTATTGATCGTTTTTTCTTATTATTCATATTTATGTGTCTATTTTTTTATATATGTTGATCATTTTTTTATGCAAATATGTGTTGATCATATTTATTAATATTGTTGTTATAATCATTTTAAATACATAAGATGGCAGAAAAAGTAAACAAAATAAAGCAGAGGACAAGAAAAGACAAGCAAATTAATGACAATGAAGGAGATGACAAAGCCTATTTTCGATGGAATATACAAATGGAGCGTTCATTAGCAGATATACTTAGAGAAGAATGTCATATCGGTCACAAAGGAGATGGTGGTTGGAAAACAGTTGCTTATAACACCGATGCTGCCATATTGTCTGCACAATTTGATATTGAAGTAAGTGTTGATAACATAAGAAATCGTGTTAAAACCTGGAGAAGGTTTTATGGTATAGTCAGTGATATATTAAGTCAGAGTGGATTCAATTGGGATGCAACAAAGAAGATGATCAGTGTAGATGAAGACAATGTTTGGGATGAGTACGTGAAGGTAACTTATAATGCAATTATATCTTTTTGTATAACTAAAATTGTGGTAAATAAATGGTTAACTTTGATTTTCTGCTTGATAGTCTCATGAAGATGCTAGAACTTTTCGATTTAAAGTGATTGCAAACTGGGATGATATAGTGGATTTATGTGGCAAAGATAGAGCTACTAGAGAGGGTGCTAAAACATGTGCAAAAGCTCCTGAGGTTATGACTCCTGAGAGTGATCCCAATATTATTGTTGATTTGGAAAGTGATACTCAAGGTTTTGAGAGTTGTCAGGTTGATGATGTTTCACCCAGCTCTAGTTGTCCAAAGAGAAACAATCAAAAACCTTCTAATATTCCCCCATTAAAAAAAATAAATAAATAAATAAAAAAGGTGGTACAATTAATGTTCTTGTTGATTCAGTGGCTAAAATGGCTTCATCTTTGGAACACTTTATCAATTCTACTACACAAAATCTTGATCCAACATAAGTATATAATGAAGTCATTGCAATTCCAGATCTTAGTCCAGATGAACAACTGAAGGTATGCTCTTGGTTTATAGAAAATGAGAAACAGTTTCTCATGTTAAAGACAATTCCAACTGAGAGAAAGAAGGGAATGGTGTTGATGTTTATTTCACCAAGAGCATAGACACATTTTATATTCAGTTGACATCTTTAATTTTTGCTATTTTTGTTGAAACATTGGTTGGGATGATTAGCTTCATTTTTTTAATTACGTGATTTATGCTTTTTTGAATTAGACAAGCTACAGTTGCAATTCTTTACATTAGTAACAATTGAGGTATGTGCTGTTAGACAATTTTCGTACTGCACAAGTCTTTCTAATTATATATATAATAATAATGTATTGAACTATGCTGATTATTCCTATCCAGATTTTATATACAAGACTGTTGTAAAAAAATGTTGTTACTTCTGAGTAAATTCCAATTCTGTGATGACTATCCAAACAGGTGAAATTGTAATTTCTGTCATTTCTTAAATTCCGCATATATGACATCCAAAAGCTGAAATTTGCAATTGACGGAATTTTTAAATGATGAAATTGGAAATTCCGTCATTTACAATTTCCATGGAAATTAGAATTACTTCATCCAAACATTGGGGATACTGCTGCAGAGGGAAGTTTTTATAACGGTTGGTTGGTGCTATGATATTGGGAAAGTTTCGAACTCGTGTAAATTCCTAGACGCTGCCATTCTTTTTTGTCTATTTTTTTGTTCTAGTTATGTTATACTAAAACCTCACGATTAGTTGTGTACTTTCATAGCGCTGCATGACCAACTTTCTGGTCGTCGATGCACCGCCAGCCTCACCACCAGGTTGCCTCGCACTGCCTCATGATGAACGAGTGTCTTTGATGTTCATAATCCCACCAGCCTTTCATAATCCCACGAATCTATTAAGATTTCTCGAAAATAAATATATATATATATATATAAAGATTCTGAAAGTGTCAAGAATCAAACTGAGAAGATATGAAAGAGTGTTGTACAAAAATAAATACAACGAAGAAAGCAATATTTAGCAATCCAAACCGAAGGAAAAGGACTCAAATATCTCAAAACTCATGTGTAGAGGATAAAATGGCGGAACAAACTCATGTGTCATTGGGATTGTTTCTGATTGAGAGTGTAATTATTGCATCGTTTCAACTTCAAAGACCCGAAAACAAAGTTCTCAATCAACCATTATCAGACATTAAATATTAGTTATTTGAACGGTTCTGTCTTCTTCACATTGGTTTCATCAGTTGCGTTCTCTGTATTTGAGTTTTACATGTCATGGGAGCATTTGTCGATGCATAATCAGAAGTGAGCACTCTTTGTTTGCTCAAACAATACAAAACAATATAGTAAATTAGTAATGTAATTACAACGTCTTATATCAATAATTTATGAACGCAAAAATCCTCATTTTTGTTTTTGTTTTTATTTTTTCGCAGGAAATGTCTGGTTGCTATTAAAACTCTTTAACTGATAGAAGATATTTTAATTTCATTTACAAATGCACACTCTCAATGGGCACATCTTGTGTCAGCAGTTTTTCTTTAAGGTATGTGTCGTGAGATCTTGTAATCCATCTGATGTTTGTCTTTCATTTCATGATGTCAATTTCTTGAGCAGCCAAGTTGGAACCTGCGCATCTTCATTCTTCCATTCAAAGCAAGAGCCAAAACATCAAATTCCTCAACATACCAAAGCTCAGATACGACCGCCTGAATTATATTTTGAGGACCTTATAAGCTCATGCATAGGAGGATACAAACAAATTACATAACATAAATTACTGTGGTTATAAATAACATATCTCACCTCAAATCCTCGGAGGAGGATACAAACAAATTACATAACATAAATTACTGTGGTTATAAATAACATATCTCACCTCAAATCCTCGGAGTTCATTGTTTAGACGATCAACAAGCCCATGGAAGAAGTGGACCTGATCCCCAGTATTAGATAGCACCTGAACATGAAAAAATAAAGAGAAGAATAAAGAATAAACTAACAGAACATAGATAGATCTAATGGCATGTAATGGCAACCGGCATCAAAATGATATGACACATGTTTCCTTGAACTCTCAATTGATGGAAAGTTCTGGATCTTATCAAGGATTCACAAATTCCATTAACTATGAAAAGTAGTCATTCATATACTATATATGAAAATTGAAAAGAAAAAAAAAACGAAGCAAGCCTAGTTTCTTTGAAGAATATAAGAAAGAGACTTAACATTTTCAGCAGATCACTGCAGTATTAAAACAATTACATGTCACACTAAGCAATGAAATAACTAATTGCACTCAAAGAGCCTTTAGATGATACTACCGTGGATGATGCTTTCGGGTGACCCAGAAGCCTTGCAAATGATGTATGAAGAATAGCCGCATCATACTGCAGGAGATAATTGCTACAACCATAAGATACTGGAGGAAAACAAGCTATTTACTCAAAGTCTATATCAGCCTACCACTACTATTGCACAGCGCACTAATGAGGCCAGGTCATGAAGATGAGATCCAGGATGCAACAACTATAAGTTCCATATGAGAAAGAATGAAATAACTTGTTGGGGACTACACACCCCTTTACACCCGGAGGTCAGTTTGGCAGCCAATAAGATAAATCAGAAAGGAATAAGTTCTGTAAGCTTCAGGAAATTGTCACCTCAAGCAAGAGTTACTGTCGTTCATTTTCAAATTCAGGTAAAAACGTATATTAACATTAAAACCTCGGTTCTAAGCTTGAGTTCATAGATGATCTCAAGTTATTAAAGAGTATTCTGTTAGTTAACTTCACAACTCTTAGTCTACATAGTTTTGAGGTACTGTACTAAAATAAAAATGAATTAAGACATAGGTATGGCTCTTACAAGTTGCTTCTCTGGTGCCCGTGGAAGTGCAGTCCTCAATTTTGCACGAATGGTTATAGGATCTGATCCAGAGATTACCTAAATTGGAACACAAACATTAAGTGCAAAAGAGTGATTCCAGCAAATAATTATATCTCATATAGTTGCCTTGATGGTTAAACTACAAGACATACTACTGCATAACACGTCACGATGTCCTCAAATTGGGGATGGGGAGAGAAAATGCAAATTTGCAATACTGTTGAAATCAAGAAATACCCTATTTTTACAAGCATTACATAATTCTTGTTTAACATACATTAAGAGAAGGGAGGCATTAAAGAGTGATTATATAGGTCATGGAAAACAACCTGCCAGCACCCAAGAAGCACACCTGTTGAAGTTAAAACCACCCTGTCTAGGACAATTTTTAAAGGGCAGAGTTCCTGTGTGACAGCTCTAACAGCAGCTGCTTCGGCTTCAATCTGACCCCAAAAAAAGGGTTCAAAAACTAAATTGACATGTAAGTGAAAAGAAAGATACAAAGAAACAAATAAATGGCTCCAAAAAGGCTGTTACCTCATCTTGAGTGGCAGGAACAGGTGAAATATGGTGTGAGGCATGGAACATACTAAAATGGTACAAGCTGGAGTTCTGAAACCAAATCACTAACAAAGAAATGCATAAGCATACCAACAAATCGTAAATACTAAGTTGACAATAGATGAACTAATCCTAATTTGAGCTATGATTATGTAGTCTGTCAAAGATTTGATAAAATGACAAACAATAGCTTACCTTTATCAAAGTACGGATCAAGTATAGGTTTAAGAGCCTCCCTGCAACAATTCAATCATGAATGCACAACTTCAATGAAAGAGTACTAAGCTGAAGCTATGAAATTATACCCAACGTTATAATTTTGCAGATAAAAAAAATCCAAACTTTAATGTGCTTGATTTCAGAGAATACTTCTCTATGCTCCATTACATTTAGAACTAATAAATAAAGTTCCCAAATTTAATAATCGAAAAGATACATAAATACTGATATCAACTAAAAAATTTCTTTTTTTTCTTTCACCTGATAGCATTGATAATTTGAATAGGAAAACACAATCAACAACACATAAACAGAGAAAGAAAGCAAATACTTACGTTATCGGAACCGAATACTGTGTGCTCAGATGCAAAACATTAGCACGTACAGGGGGATTTGCTGCCTACAGAGAACACATACAACCCAATTAGCCAAAGCTCCAAAGCCTAAAACTTTAATCAATCCATCAATTGAGATATTAAGTTTACCTTAAGTATAGGTGCTACAGATCCATCCTTGATGGTAAAAATATCAGAAAGCGAGAGAGACTGAGAAGTGTGGCCATGTTTGAGAAAAAGCGGTCCGTGCTGATCCAAATCCCTAGCCATCCGATCGTACAAGGCGGACCTCTGCTCCTTATTGGAAACCGTAGAATCTGGAAGGAAAGTGTTGAATAAGAACCCAATTTCTCGGGAACCAAACAGAAAGAGTGAAAGAGTGAAGGAAAGCAATTGAAATTACCAGAAGCAGATGTGTAATTGTGTGAAGAATCAGAGTTCCGGAGCGCCATTTGGAAGAGAGAGTAGAAGAACAAGGCAGAGAAGAGCCAGAGGAAAGCTACGGTTTTGGAGCGATTCATGCCACTACGTCACCGCCACCGCCCAACTCATCAGCACCATTTAGCCATAAGCTCACCACTGGCTCTGAGATTGGTAAAATTCATAACAGTTTGGTTACTGTTCTTTTTCTTTGTTTAACAACAAAAAGAAAAAGAAAAGTCAGAGAAGTTGGTGGCGGTTAAGATTAAAAAGGAAGTAAAAGTATCATCTTTTATGTTAATTACTGTTTCATAATTTTGGGTTTGTTGGTGTGTTGTCCATTTTCTTGTTTTGAATTTGACTAATCATTACATCGTAGCAGTAACAGAGTGAAAATAATCTAGAGACACTTCAATACGCAAACGTAAAAAATTCTCATTTGGATCCCCCAAAAAAAAAGTTCTCATTTGGAAATGGAAATTGAGGTCAAACTCAAGTGACTTGACTCATCCTTTATGAATACAATCTCCCAGTCGATTGAAAAAACAATAATAATAACTCAACTCATAGAGCAAATGAGTGAAACACAAGCATCCAATGAGTGAATTTCCAACATCTTGTAAAAAAATTAATATAGGCTTTTTTTATACAAGCGATAGTCTATATTATAGGGGAGAGACCATTGGAGTGTTAGTTGAATTCACGGATGGAACTACCGTAGGGGCTACACTGGGATTTAGCATAGTGAGGTTTTTGGGGTACAAAAAATTTTAACCTATATATTTATCTTTTTTTTTAATATAGCTTAGTATGTAATAATAACCTATTACAGTAAAAAAAAAAAAAAATTGTGGTTTTAGTTGCATTTAATATTTATTTATATTTTTGAGAGAAAAATATTTATTTGTTTTAAGTTAAAGCTTATTGTAAATTGCAAAGGGCTTGTAACTCAAATAGTTAAGACCATATACTTTTGTTCAAGGTTCGATTTTCCCATCCCGCACTATCGCTTGCATCAAAAGAATCTTTTTTTATTTATTGAAAATTAGTCAATTAAACTATCAACTAGTATGATTTACATGATTAAATGTACTTTTATTTCTAAAAAGACTATAGAAACTGTAAGTACATAAGAAAATGATAATTAGACTTTTAGCTAATAAATGTAGTTTGCCCACCCGTTAAAAAATTTCTGATTCTGCCCTTGGTTGGATTGGGCCATGCCTTTGGTGTGCTTCTAAGTGATCTTGGGTTCAAGAAATCATGTGTATGAGTTTTTCCATGAGACCACTATTGGTATGCAAATCGAAGTCCCTTTCCATTGAGGTAGACCACAACTGCACATAAAATGAGGAAATTCTCCAAAGGAAAAACAAAAGGGGGTCAACAATTCTAAAGAATATTTAGGGATCATCATTTGGCCCGCAGTAAATGGGCTAAAGTGGGTAGCTCTAAGCCTGATAGGACAAAGCCCGACCCTACTTGTTGCTTACACTTGCCCAGCTTAACTTGCTCTAAGATTGGATAGGTTTGGGCCAAGGGTTTGAAACCTTGAGTCAACCCGCAGCTCTACCCATTTGAGTTTGTCTAAGCCTGACCTGATTAAGCTCGTCTAGGCCCAAACCACCCCGCCTATCAACATAATTAATAATAATAACAATAAATATAATACCCAATTAAATACTATACTTATTCATGCAATTTTCTAACTTGTCAAGCTCCAATTTTCTCAATCTCTCTAAATCCTCAATCCTTTGGTGGTGGTAGTCTTATTCCTTTATTCTCTTAAATTTCAAGCTATAATTTTCTCAATCTCTCTAAGAGCATCCACAGTGAGGGGTGTAAATTCGGGGGTGTAAAGCCACTTTTACATCCCTTTTACACCTCCGGAGGGTGTAAATATGTTTTTTGCTCCAGTGAGGGGTGTAAATTCGAGGGTGTAGCCGTGGGTCCCAGCCTTTTATGTTGACTTTTCTTCATTTTCTTCTCTTTTTTCGGGTGGGTCCCGCCTGCAAGGGATGTAAAAATGGATGTAAATATACATTTTATTTTACATCCCCATGGTGGTGATGTATATTTACATCCATTTACATCTCACCATTGGAGACGATTCCGATGACTCGGGGTGTATATTTAACATACACCCCCATATACACCCCCCACTGTGGATGCTCTTACACCTCCGGAGGGTGTAAATATGTTTTTTGCTCCAGTGGGGCGGTGTAAATTCGGGGGTGTAGCCATGGGTCCTAGCCTTTTATGTTGACTTTTTTTCATTTTTCTTCTCTTTTCTCGGGGTGGGTCCCGCCTGCAAGGGATGTAAAAATGGATGTAAATATACATTTTATTTTACATCCCCATGGTGGTGATGTATATTTACATCCATTTACATCTCACCATTGGAGACGATTCCGGTGACTCGGGGTGTATATTTAACATACACCCCCATATACACCCCCCACTGTAGATGCTTTAAATCCTTATTCCTTGGTGGTGGTGCTCTTATTCATTGGCGGTGGTGGTGCTCTCATACCTTTGTAATAAAAAGTTATAAAATATTTGTTAATGGGGTCTAGCCCAATGGAAAAAGGCATTGACTTGTAAACTAGAGGTCTCAGGTTCGAATGCCCATGACATCTTAGTTGTGTGTATTAAATCCCCTCTTCCCTGTAGTTTAGACCATCGCATGTACTAAAAAAAGTTATAAATACTTTTTGTTATAATAAAAATGGCAAAAAGCTCGGCTCGTTTAAGCCCACTCAGCCCACCCAGTAAAGCCCATCTAAGCCCGACTCAGAGGGGGGGGGGGCCTGGGCGTTGATATTTGAAACTTTGGCTTGGTCCTATTCAACTCGACAATTCAAAATAGCTAGTGAAGCTCCGCGAACCCAAACATTTTAGGCCGATTGGACGAATGCTATGTTTCATACACACTTCAAACTTCATTTTTGTAGTTTAATAAAATAAGAATGTTCTAAGCTTTTAGCCATTTCGAACTCTGAAAAACCAACTGTCATTGGATGATTCTTTGAATTTTTCCGCTCATGCAGTGTTCAACTTAATCGCCTTCCCGAACAAGCTAAGTCAGCCCAACTCTGCACAAATGGATGGAACTACACAAGAACACAACAACAATTCCATTAAGAACCATGAAAACTTTGTTATCCTAGTTTCAAAAACAAAGTTTGACCAAAAAAAAATTTCAAAAAGAAAGGAAAGTTTACGCATGGTTTTGCCCGCCAACTAGAAGTGTCTTGAAATTTGAGGCGGAGACCGTACGTATAACAAGTCTGGCCTTCGGGGCACGAATTAAAACGCTAGATCCGTAGAAATGCTCTCTAACTCCCTTAAATCCCTAGTTCCCCTTTGCCTTGGAAATTTTCATACCCAACCCTAATCTCCCTTCTGCCACACGCATCATCCCCAACCCTAAATTCCCTTCTGCCCCAATTTATCATGGGGCGTCGGAAGAAATCCCAAGCTTCCAAGCTCACCTCGGGTCAAGATGACGACCCCCATGACAACTTATCGGAGATCAGGAAAGCTTTAGTCGAAAATGCCGCCCTCCAAGCCCAACTGAAGAAGGAGCTTTGCCTGCTACGCGCCAGTGAACCCGAAACGAAGAGCCCAAATCCCACTGTGGTCGCTGGCAGTTCCAAGCGCAGGCCGTCGGCTCAAGGCTCCCTCAATATGTTGCCGGCTTCCTATGTGCTCGATCCTTGCCCAAGGTCAGTGACTTGGTGGGTTTCGTCTTCTTAATTATGCTCTGTTTCTCTCTGTAAAATTGTTGGTCTAAATCAGACGTGGAGGGTTTTGTATATATGTAATGTAACGTTTATAAGGTTTTTGATAATATGACTCAGTGAATGCCGGAAGAGTGTGGCTAGCATGAATCAGCCAAAGCAAGCAGAACAAACCATGAGTGAGAGTGTCGCTAGCATGAAACAGCCAAAGCAAGCAGAAGAAACCAAGTGTGAGAGTGTGGCTAGCATGAAGCAGCCAAAGCAAGCAGAAGAAACCAAGTGTGAGAGTGTGGCTAGCATGAAGCAGCCAAAGCAAGCAGAAGAAACCAAGTGTGAGAGTGTGGCCAGCATGAAGCAGCCAAAGCAAGCAGAAGAAACCAAGTGTGAGAGTGTGGCTAGCATGAAGCAGCCAAAACAAGCAGAAGAAACCAAGTGTGAGGTAGGAACAAGCGTTTCTTGATGCCTGGTTGTATAAATGTGTATAAGTGTTTTTATTATTAGCCTCTCTCAATCTTAGTTTCTCATAGTATACAATCGGTGTTTTTCGCAGGGAACAGTCAAGAAGAGATGCAAACCAATTGCAAAGCAGAGTTGGAAACCACCGATAACAGGAATGCCTTTTTGGCTCCAAGCACCTTTACCGGAAACAGAACTCTTGCCCAGAAGAAAATAATCTTGCTGAAGGAGGAAGCACTTCCTTTTACTCATTTCACTCTGTTAGACTGTTGCTGCTCCATCTGTTGACTCTAAAAGTAAGTTCTGAATTACACTTGGGTTTTGATATTCCTTTTGCCCCTTGCTTGTTCTATTCTACTGTAATTGTGGTCCTACTCTTCATCAAACACTTGAATGTTTTATGCAACAATTTTAAAGAATGTTTCATATATATATGAGAATGGTTTTTGGCTACAACTTCCATGCTAATTTAAAAGGCAAAAGCCTTCTGAGACAAGCTAGTTTTGACACAGAATCTCTTTGTAAATGGTATTTCAGTCTAGAATAATAGACAATGTATGTTGAAAACTCCTCTTGGTTAGCATACAGAGACCTAGACCTAGTGTAGTTACCAATTACTTGTACTTGTGCCCAATGCTGGGCCCCAAATATGCAACCCATTTCAAAGTGTATTGGTGGGTTACCTTAAAAACATTTGGGCCCAATTTCAACTGTGCTGGTATTGGGCAACCAAAGCAGTAGACTAGCTTAGTAGATAACTCAATTTCAGAGGTAGAGCTAGGGGTCTGTTTGTTTGCTTGTAACTTTTTCATAATAATGCATTAGTTCTTGAATGTACCTAGAAGGCTACACGACCAGTCAATTTCAATGAGCCAACCTCTCCCAACATGAGAGAGATCTAGTATCATCACAAGCATGACATTTAAGGGTGGATGTGGATGTGGTGGTGGGTCTTTTCATCCAATTTACCTGCTTGCCAACAAACAATCCATAGGCTAAAAGCCAGGTAGCTAGGCAGGCACACATGTGACAATGTCACTGTATCTATTTCCATCATAGATTTTTTTTTCAATTAAAAGAAAGAAAAGCCAAGTCTAAGTGGAAGGGAGGGTTATAAGATTTTATGGGCCCGATCAAGGCCCCAAACCAAACAAATGAAATGAAATTATGAAAGAAAAAATAGATTTTATGGGCCAAATTAGGGGAATAAGCTGATTGTTTATGTACTTAGTACTTACAGAGTAATAAACCCCAGATGGAGGCAGGCTTGTTGGTTCAGTCTGGAAGATTACATGCATGGCTTACAAGTTTAGGATGGTCTAATCATGCTATTTTTGGCTGCTGGGGGCCAATGGCTGTCCTTAGGGATTTCATGTCCATGACCATGTGCATATATTATGTACGAACCAGACCGAGCTATATTTTGCGATCATGATATGACACAGATTTCCCACACAACAGCATCAAAGCTAGTAAATGCCAAAACACACTTGTCATGATCATCACTGCCTAATAATATATATATATACATCTGCTACTATATGCCTTCATAGCCATGTGTGTTTGCCGTTAATTATATGTATATGCTCCTTATTCTCTTAAAATCATTATTATTCTGAAATTGTAGCGCTCTCTCTTGCACTATGTACGGGTGAATTTTTTTTCACCTGGCTCGTATTATAAGATGTTTAAGTTTGGAGAGACGAGGATGAGAATCGAACTCTTAAGTGTGGTGATAACCATCGTCAATCCTGCTATATTCATTTACATGTACTGGCGAATGAGCAGACCTACTATAAATTGGAGCAGCAAATTAATACATTTTTGCACTAATTAACCCTAACTGCTCGAACCACCCAACCACCCCATTGTTACCAGCCATGTACACCAAACCTATATTATATATCCTAGCAGCAAACTAATAATTTTCTGACCAGAAAACTTATATTTTATATATTCATATATTGCCATTTTCAGAAATGTACCATTACTAATAATACATATGGCAAATCCGTTTACCTTTTTGACAAGAACGGGTTAATACTAATCGAAGGTTAAAGTAACATTTTATTCTTGAGTTCTTTTTTTTATTTATTTACTGTTTCTTTTTACGAAAATACCTTGTGATATCCTTCGTGTTGCATAGTTATAATTTTGGATAAATAACATTATGAACAGCAGACATTTATTCCATGGTATATAGATTATTATATTTAAAAAAAGCTTTCAAACGCACGTATGTCTAATCTCTGTGTGTGTACAACACTTAATCAGATTAGACTTTTATATTTGGCATATACCTGCATATTTAATACACGATAGCAACAAGTAATCACTTTACACTTGTTTTTTTATATATATTTTATACAAAGAATTAGGATCACTAAGAATATAAATATATTAACAACATCGATGACCCACAATGAATTAGAGCACTACCAAGATTTGCATTGATCCCAATTACTCGAGACTCCAAAACTATAGGTAGGAGAAAGACTTTCATGCAACGGGAATAGCATTGTTTTGTTATTTTCGACCATTATGATACGCGTGATAACTTTTTTACGTGATATAGTATTATTAGTCGGGAAAAATAAAACAGTAACATCCATGTTGTAACTAAGTTTTTTCACCTATATATAGAGTATGGGCCCCAGTAAAAGGAAAAAAAAACATGGAAACTTTCAAACGGGCAGCTAGTTTTAAATTTTCATAAATCCCAGAATTTTTCATATCTTTCTTTCTTTCTTTCAACGAGTTAATACAAATTAAACGAACCCTGCCAGCCAAGGTACAAATATTTAAGACATATGCACGATAGGACATTACTAGATTTATATGCCATCTGCCCTTTTTCAAGGCCATTGACAATCGTCCCCTTCAGTTATTACGAATATAATCTTTAGCTTTAGGTATATGTCAAACCATCAATTGGTGCAAGAGTATGGTCCTTGTAATATTTTGTTCATTTTTTTATTTGGGGATTTTGTTCTATAAGTTTTAAAGCATAAAATAATTTATCCACCCCTATAGAAAGAAAGGAAAATATATGCAGCATGATGCTGATTGGGTAAGGGGGGAGACAGTAACAAGTTGAGCCATGGGGGGCATATGAAACACCAAATTTCCACCATTTTTCCTATCCTCTAGTTGAGTGAAAAAAAACACTTGTATATCACGGAAATAACACTGTTTTCCTATTCCAATAAATCACGTTCTATCACGAATACATAATAACTCTTTCACATATGGGAATGTGATTGATTAAGAATAGCAAAACAGTGTTGTATTTAATTTCTTCTCTTGGTTGATAGTTTGAGACCCAATCATTCAATGGTAGCCAATCAAAAGGTAATTCCATCAAAATGAAGGGTCCAGATTGATTGAAGGGTTGGTGGGCCATGACCCGGTAGAGTTATTAAATAAATTTAAAACTCACCACCGATCACCCTCAATGGTGTCAGCAACTGCACCATAAGGGAAAAAAAAGAAAGAAAAGAAAAAAGATAGAGGAATGATCCACCTGTTTGTCAGTGACGTTGTATATTGGTTTGGGCAATGACCAGCACCCAGACCCCACCACCTGAGCCAACACCTGGAACTGATAAGGTGTGGAGCCTACCGTCCTATTACCCCCACCCTCTCTGAAAATCTTAATCATTGATGCAGTAAACCCTTTGAGATTCATGGCAGGAGAGAGCCATGGATATATAGAATCAGAATGATATCAAAAGGCTGTGAAATTTTTTTAATACCAACATTGCAGTAAGTAACTCACTGTTTCATCCCTTTTCACTACCCATTTAGGATTCACTGTACACATGAACGCAAACTCGGTGGTGGCCTAGAGAGAGAAAGGGAAGAGAGAGAGAGAGAGAGCCCAATTGTTTTGTATGTTAGGTAGGAGACTTACCCAGAGCATGCAAATAAGATCACTTTCACCAACACAATAAAAAGCAGAAAGTAATACTTGCTTTTCATTGAAAAGAAAATGAAGGGAGAAAAAGAAGAAGAAGAAGAGAGAATTAATTGCACAAACAATGATGATCGTATACTGTGTGGTAAAAAAAAACTCCCAAAATGAGACTATTAATAGAGAGCAGCCAAAATAACCCATGTTAAAAATAAGTGTCTTCTTTTCTTCTCCAAACCCTAAAAAACTCTCTCATCCCGGCCATATCATATTAATCACACAAAAAAATTGGAATAAATAAAAATAAACCTCAGGAATTTTAAGAGCAATCAATCAAACCTCACGTGTGTTGTTACACAGCAAACTACTACACATGTGGGAAGAAATGACGACCACCACCGACGACGAAGAAGAACCGCTGACCATCCATCGTCATCTATGAATGGTGACTAGTACTATCATGCCGATCGTCTCCTCCGTGGTGCGAATGGGACCCACTTGCTTGCTGGGACTCTGAAACACCCGTACTGGACATGTGCCGGTATGGGTTAAGCCCAGCGAGCATATTTAACTGCCCGTCACTCATGTTATCGCCGTCGTTACCGCCACCGCCTCCGCCAGAGCCTCCCAATTGTTGCTGACTAGGCAATAGGGTCATGGGAGCAGGAAAATTCATGAAATGTAATCCACCTGACATGGTCCCTCTATACAACCCGCTGTTGTTGACCGAAGCTGGGAAAGTCCAAATAGGATCTCCACTCATAACCTGGTTATTAGAATTCGCCACCATCCAAAAATTTGCCGGAATCTGGCTGTGGTGATGACTGGCCGGGACTGCGCCGGTGCTAGACTGCAACAGGTATCCTCCACCACCTCCACCTCCGCCCCCGCCCATTTGATTCAAGTCCTGCTCCGGCGGCCTCCGCTTCCTCCCTCCCATGCTCCCCTCCCCAGACGCCGTCTCCGAGAGATCCAACGACACCGTGTCGCGCAGCTCCTGCTTGGCCTGCAACATGGAGGCGTGCATGCTGTTGGTTTGAAAGTTTAGCAGAGTCGACGAGTTGTCCGAGGACGAGAGGCCGATGCCCTGAAAGAGGCTCCGGCGCTGGTTCTGGTGAACCGAGAAATTGGGGCTGTAATAAGAAGATCTTAACTGCGACGGCACCGACATGCTCGAGCCGGAGCTGCGGAGCGAGATGTTGAGCGATGTGAAATTGGCGGGGATTGTGCCGGTGCCCGTTGCGGCGATCACCGCGGGCTCGGCCTGCTGGAGAAGCCACTCTATGGTTTCTCCGTCAGACTTGTGTCCGAGCTCGCGGGTGAGCTGGAAGACTCTTGCAGCGCAGAGGGCCGGCATTCGAATGCGACGGCCGCGTCCGTCGACTTTCGTGTGGCGGTCCTTGGTGGAGGTCCGCTTGGGGGG